AAAAAAAAATGCATGCTGCTCAAAAGAGTGATTAAATAATCCTGAAAACAAAGCAAAAGAAAATAATTGAATTATTTACCTGGTGCTGCCACTTTTACAGAAACTGGCTTGGGGGATGCCGGAGTTTTTGCTGGCTCTTGAAATGAAAACAAATTAAAGCAGTCGTAACAAGGCATGCCATAACAAAAATAAATAAATAAAATACATAAAACAAATGGGGAAACAAAATAGGAAAAATATTGCTCTTAGTATCCTTCTCATAAGGAAAAAGAGAACATAATTAAAAGAAGTTGTTTCTTGGAATTCTATTACTGTAAGTCAAAAAGAGGGGGAGAAACTGCGATTTGAAATCAAGAGATAATTAATGACATTAACAAATGTAGATTTTTGTATTATACTACTCAGCATCACAGTTTAATAGTCAACGGTCAATAGTTCACAAACCACACATCATTTGCATAAAAAGTCATAGCTGAAATAACATTCTCCCTGAAGGAAACTAAAATCTCTCTACATTTGTGCCCTTCTCCTCCAGAATAAAACAAAATAGATTATTCTCAAGCTGTAGCATAGATCATCAGCTCAGCTTTGATATGTACATGTACGTATGCAACAATGAAAAATCTGGCTTGTGCTTGATCCATCTTTTATGATAAATGAGAATACCCATCTCCACTTCAGGTCAACAGGGCTACGTCTGATTGGAGTCAGTTCACAGCCTGTCTCTGTGCAAAACATGCCTGTTTGACAAGAAAATAATCAGACACTCCTTCTGTAATGCAGAAGATAAGTGCTACTCAGAAGGCAATACTGAACCATGATCATTTATGTCAGGGACATGATGGCTGCAGCATCCATCTTCCTAGGATGGAAGATGCCATGCTAAAGGATCAGAATTGTCCATCAAAGCACCTGCTACCCAATTGAAATCAGCAGCAAAAAAACACGCAATCAAATTTGTATTTTATCTTTTCTGTGTTGACCTTTTGCTCTGAGGTGGAGGGGGGGTGTCCTCAAGTGTTCATATTTTTTGCTTTTGATGATCCAAAGTGTTCCCTTTATTTATGCATCTACTTCCCAGGATCTTAATACTGCAATTGGAATACTTATAGCTGTGGAAGACATATGATTCCTCCTGATCCTCAGAGGAGAATTGTTGTGATACTGAGTTGTATGCAGATTTTAATGGTGCTATAGAAGCACAGTGAGAATAACGTGGCTGCAACATGCTGCAAAAGATCCGAAATAACTGTAGCCATTTGTCTTTTTCTTTCTTTCTTCTGTATATAGCCGGATATAATAATAATAATAATAATAATAATAATAATAATAATAATAATAATAATAATAATAATAATAATAATAATAGTAAAGTTGGAAGGGACCTTGAAGGTCATCTAGTCCAACCCCCTGCTCAGGCAGGAAACCCTATACCATTTCGGACAAATGGCTGTCCAGTCTCTTCTTAAAAACTTCCAGTGTTGGAGCATTCA